AAGCGTTTCACTACTGCACACTCAACCTTCGTGCGGTCCGAGACACGGCTTTTCCCGACCATCCTACTATCCTGATTATCTACTCTCCAACCCAAGATTCTAAGCGTAAAGGCGCCTGCAACTTCATGGCCCTCTCCGATACGTCTCTGCCCCTCCAGGTCTCAGCTTCTACACGGACGTGCCCCTTCCGTGGGTTTTGGGGGGTTTTTTTCCAGGACCATCGCGGCCTCGCTGGGGCTCCCCCACACCTCTCCGCAACAGCTGGGGCGCCGGTCCTCTGCGGCTTTCTCCGCCTACATCAGGCCAGACGCGTCCGCTATCCTGCCTGCACAACGTCAACTGGCTTCCTCGTAAGCTCCCAGCAAAGCAATACGAAGCAAAGTAAGTGAACCAATAAGATTCTGGTGGCGGCACGCACTTCTCTCAAACACTCTCCGCTGCCGCAGCGTCTGACGGAACGTGATGCGAGCGCTCACGTTCCCAGCGCGCAAAGACAACCCTGCCGCAGCGTCTGGTTGATCGTGATGCGAGCGCTCACGTCCCAGCGCTCAAAGATAACCCTGCCGCAGCGTCCGGTTGATCGTGATGCGAGCGCTCACGTCCCGGCACTCAAAGATAACCGCATATAACGGTCACAGCACATAGTGATAGCGGTCATAGCGTTAGTGATAGCGGTCATAGCGTTAGTGATAGCGGTCATAGCGTCAGTGATAGCGGTCATAGCGTCAGTGATAGCGGTCATAGCGTCAGTGGTAGCGGTCATAGCGTTAGTGTTAGCGGTCACAGCATAGCAAAAAATGGTTAGCGCATAAACGGTTCACAGCATAGAGATAGCGGTCACAGCATAGCGATAGCGGTCACAGCATAGCGATAGCGGTCACAGCATAGCGATAGCGGTCACAGCATAGCGATAGCGGTCACAGCATAGCGATAGCGGTCACAGCATAGCGATAGCGGTCACAGCATAGAGTAGCCACGACGTCTGTTTCCTGCAAACCAGGCTGCAAAACTCCATCAACACACTCAGCTTTTTGGGGATTGTACGCGCTCCATCGCAGGAGCCTCTCCGATCTGAAGGCCGCACCGGGGCCTAGGGCGCCAAACCACCTCAATAAATACTCAAAACCATTTTCGTTTCTCGTCTCTCCAAATTGAAATGTAGCTCGCGAAAATTCAATTTGGTAGACGTCAGCAAAAGCTACCCCCTCCAGGCCGGTTCGCTTCCCCAGCCTATCGCTCGGCAAACGCCCCCTTCCAATCATCCGTGCCGGACAGGCAGCCGCTTAAAAGCGGAGCAACTCTCACTTTCTGCCTTCTCGAAGCCTCGCAACCACCGCCTCCCCTCCTCCTCCTCTTCACCCTGCCTCCAATCTGCCTCCAATCTGCCTCCAATCTGCCTCCAATCTGCCTCCAATCTGCCTCCAATCTGCCTCCAATCTGCCTCCAATCTGCCTCCAATCTGCCTCCAATCTGCCAAAATGCCGCCACCAGTGCCTAGGTCCCGGGGGATTGTACGCGCTCCATCGCAGGAGCCTCTCCGATCTGAAGGCCGCACCGGGGCCTAGGGCGCCAAACCACCTCAATAAATACTCAAAACCATTTTCGTTTCTCGTCTCTCCAAATTGAAATGGACTTTGTCAACTTTTATGAGCATTGGTCATCTGCCCCGTATTGACCTATGTGTTTTGTATCAGTGCATTTCTTAAGGTGGAACTGTTCGCTTCTCTGATCTGTGTTGGCAGATTGAATCAACGTTCTTTGTAAAGTTCAATGAGATAACTACTGTTGTGATTTAAGATTAAGAGATCCTTTCCAATGGGGAAATGTCAGTGTTGCATCACAAGTTATAGAAGTTATAGAACAGAAAGAGGAGCACACAGCACAAGATAAGTGAACAATAGCTATACTAATTAAAATAAAACAAAATCCCTAACTCTAGCATCAATAACAAGTATAAAATTTCAATCTTGAAAATAGTAATAATAAAAAGAAGTGTCCCACAGGGCCCACACAGAACACAGAGGGCTCTTACTGTATCTCTTTGGTCCGTCCTCCAGACAGAAGGACAGCGTGAGCGTGGCGTCTTCCTCAAAGAACTCTGTCGCAAAGGCATCCCACCATAAGTTGTCGCTCTCCTGAAAAAATGAGAAAGATCTTGATTTAGAAATGAATGCAAGGAACATTTTAATATCCATGTGGTTCATATTGCATTCTGCTTAACCCAATATGGTCACACCTCTGTACGCTGATAAGGCAAGACGGGCCGTTACCAGATTTAATATGAGACGCATATTTCACACACAGTCAAATATGGAGGATGCAGCAGCCACGTACTGTACTTCAACGTATTAATATTTACAACTATTGCGGAAAATCCTTCAGTCACATTTTGCAAGTAAAATATAAAATAACACTTTTAGCACCAATGAAATCATCTAAACTTAAAAGATTTATTTTTTCTGCTATAGAGACACATTAATGAGTTTGTCTGTGCTGGCGGTAACAGAAAGAAAAACTATTGTGCAGTTTTCATGTTTTCTCTTGAACAATGTTTTCATGATTTAGAAAGATAAATATTTTCCTAAATCTACCAACTATATGGAAAAAAATGGCAAATGGAGATGACTAGAATGAACATTGCTTCCATCTAGTGGTAGAAGTGGTGAATTACACTACATTTGGACGTCCTGTAGAAACCATAGCAAAAATGTCAATTTTAAGTCCGTGGTTTCTGAAATGAAACTTCTGATTTGTGATTTCATTAATTTATTTATTTATCGGAGTACTCGGGAGACAAAAAAAACAAACATAGTAAACAAATAATATAAGAATTCAAATCAGAGCCCAGGAGCAGGCAGAAGCTCAAGGCAGTAGTTAAATGTGCTGTTTATGCTTTTGTGAGAAAATATTCACAACATTGTGGCATTGAGCCAATAGAAACCATTTTAGTAAAATTAACTGACCTAAAATAAGTGAGAAAAATATGATAATTTTCTCTTGGATAAATAAACTTCTGGTTTCCACTGTCAATCAAAGATGGTGCAGACTAGAGCACCATCATCGCTTCATGAGTTTGACAAATGTGTGAAAGATATAAAGAAGAAGGAACAAACGTATAACACTGAGACATGCTAGAAGAATATGACTGCATATTTAGTCTCCTCCAACTAACAGATAATTAAATATGTAAACGAACAAGCAGTTTGTGATGTTAAACGACGGGACATGATCTTCTCCAACCCCCTCCCCCTCCGCCTCCCCCCTCCCTCTCGTCTAACTCTGCTCCACATTGCTAGAAGCACCACTCCCCACATGGTGACGATTATTCCCGTCACTATCGTGCAGCGTCAAAGCCGGTACCCTGACATACATCCAGCGGCTGGACACCCCACAGGTCACCACCTCACCCACCTCACCCACCTCCACACAGGCCAAAGGAGACCAGGCCTGATCAGGACCAAATGCACAGGTCAGGGTCAGGGGGCAAAAGCCAAGGAGGGAGCAATGGCGTCTTGGGGGTCAAACTCATGGCTCTGTCTCCAAATTCAGTAAAACTATGAATGACCAAAGACATTCTTGGTTAATAAAAGCCATGGTTTGTTGGTCAATTTTTTTGACCAAAAAAGGGCTTGCAGCAATTTGACCTAAACTCTACTCACAGGACTGCACTGCATTTGCGGTCAATAAAAATGTATCTGCCTTGGGTTAGGGTTAGGATTATCAAATTGAGTCTTCAGATGATTTGCGTCGTGCCCTCTCATTTGTGCAGCTCTCACAGAAATCCTTGTAAATTGATTATAAGGATATAGTCAACAAATACAAAAAAAACAGTATTGACTAAACGACGAAAGGCTAACGGCCTTAGAATTGAGGCAGTTTATGTTTAAGAACTTGGAACAACGTCTTCTATAAATTTCACCTTAACACACCGGTACAATGAGAGGGCAACAAGTAGTGTGGGCTCCAAGAACAGACTTTAAAGCAGCTCTAATTGTCTCTCCATGGCCTCGTACCTCTGTGTCATGTTAGTGCAATATGAACCAACTCGGACATGTGAAGCGTCTTTGAGTGTCCAAAAAAGCGCTATATAAAACCAATGCATTATTATTATTATTATTATTATTAAAAACTTTGAGTTGCCTTTTGTATGAACTGTGCGATACAAATAAACTTTCTTGGGTTGTGTGTTTGAACCAGAATTATTTTAAGTATTCACAGAAACCTCTGGTACAGACACATATTCAAATGAATATTAAGCTCTAAAAATATGTGTGAGGTCCTTTTATAACATGCCCTGAGGCTGGAACTGTCACTCAGCACATGCAGCTTCTCCAGCTCGACCTCTGCACCAAGTCCTAATGCTTCAGATGCCCTCCCATTCCTCCCATTCCTCCCATCGAGTCTCCTTCATATGCAGGCGATCCAGGACTCTCGACATTCAACAACCTTTATGGACATTTATCAACATGTATGGACATTGGTCATCTGCCCCTTATGGACCAATGTTTCTATGTGTTTTTTATTTTATTTTATATTTTATTTTATTTTTGCATTTTTTGTGTTTGAATGGTTTGTTTCTCTGATCTGTGTTGGACAAATCGACAGCTTAGTAAAGTCCTCCGAGATAACAACTGTTGTGATTTAGGGCAATGCAAAAATAAATTGAATTGAATATGACCAATATAAATGTAGGCCGATATCCAAGACCATTTTGTATTTGTATGTTTGTTTTTCAGACATGGCAACCGTATACAAAGTAGGTGGGACGAGGAACAAACATGGCAACCCCAAACTCAGGCGGGAGAAGGAAAAGACCTGGCAACCCTAAACACAGGTGGGAGGAGGAACAGACATGGCAACCCCAGACACAGGTGGGAGGGGGAACAGACATGGCAACCCCAGACACAGGTGGGAGGGGGAACAGACATGGCAACCCCAGACATAGGTGGGAGGGGGAACAGACATGGCAACCCTAGACACAGGTGGGAGGAGGAACAGACATGGGAACCCTAAACACAGGTGGGAGGAGGAACAGACATGGCAACCCCAGACACAGGTGGGAGGAGGAACAGACATGGCAACCCCAGACACAGGTGGGAGAGGGAAAAGACCTGGCAACCGCTCCTCATGCAGCAGGGGGAGCAAGTGAGCCGGCAACAGCTGGGGCTGCAACACAGAGGAAAGATCTTCTCTGTCTGTGTTGTCTTCAAGCAAAGGGCCGTATATGCCTTGTACTTTGGCATATTCCATTCTGTGACATCACAAGCGATGACAAGACAAGTGCCACTTCTGGTCGCCATGACAAGGAGAATCGGCATAGCCATGTAACAATGAAATGTTTATAGGGTATTTTTGATGCTCAGCTCAGGCTTAACAAATACAGAGTAAAGAATTATTTGATATTCTTCATTTATAGATAGATACTTTATTGATTCCCCCGTAGGAGAAATTTAGGTGTCCAGCAGCATAAAACAATCCATATAGACACATAAGTACATTTACAGTACAAGTGCAGTGTCTGTGAAGTGCATTGGTTGATTACAGACTTCAAAATAAAATTAATCCAAAATGATTCCCAGTATTGTTTAATCTCTGCTTTAAATTTTCTTTTTTTAATGTTGATGCCTTAAGACGTCTGAGGTAACACTATATACTATGAAACTTCTGCTGGAGTGTACATAATGATGAAGGTACAAGATGAAGGTACGTGATGAATGCGTGTGTTTCTGCTGCTGCTGGACACCTGAATGTCTCCTACAGGGGATCAATAAAGTGTCTATCTATCAAAAAGAATACCACTGCATATATTGTGTATGTGTGAAAAATGAACTTGAAACATGTGCAACAATCCAACCTTATTATTGCAAGAACACCATTTCCCATTCTAATGCGGCAGCAGATTTCCCGCGTCAAGAAGCGCATGAGCCGCTGCTTGTTTGATATGAAGCTAAAGCGGACACACTGATGCAGAGGTGGCAAAGCAATCAAGCGGGACAGCCTGTTCTCTGAAGTCTCTATTTAGAGCCGTGCCCCGTGCCCCATGCACACCAGGACCCAGGATTCACACTGGGACCTACCAGGACCCCCAGAGCCAGGAGCAGCAAGTGTCTCATTCCGAATACCCTAAGAGCGGGTATACAGAAGCTGCGAAGAAACTGGGAGAGACACATACAGTACAGTACATGCATTAAAACTAAATGCATTGCTTTTGTTCATTCATTGTATCATTATTTGTAAACATTGTGTGTGTGTGTGTGTGTGTGTGTGTGTGTGACTGGTTGCCTCACTTCTGGCAGTGTGCCCCAGGGAAGTAGTAGTTTATGACAATATATGGAGTGACTAAATCATGACACGTGAAGCGTCTTTGCTTGTCCAAAAAAGCGTGAAATTCATGCATTATCATGAATAAAATAACAATACAGAATCTTGTGTTCACTGCATTGGGTCTGACCTTAGAAAACACAGATCAATTAAACTAAAGAAAAAATGGTAAACCGTGGCACTTATCATGAATGATGACCTATCATGAAATGGCAGGATGACACCAATCTTGGTATCGGTACATCTCTGCCGTCATCTTTCACCAACGACCCCTTTCCGGTGCATCAATTCATTTTCAAACATGGATTGAAATTGTCACTAATAATATATTTACGCACGAGAACAAGCATCCCGTAATAACAGCGTTTTTTTTTTTTCCCAGCAGCCATGCCTATTGTTGCGTGTCCATTAGCACTACGACGCAGACCTTACAGCGAGTATCCACGTTAAAAAGCCTCTCACACAGCAACAAAACAGCATTTAGCTCCAGCGCCAAACAAAATAGCACTTGGCAGCTTTATTACTCCACTACAAATTCAGTAAATGAAATGCACATTTAGCCGAGCCTGATAATAAAGCTAACTTTTCCATTATTTCTGCACGGAGGGTTCATGCAAGTCGCTTGCCATTAATTCTCCGCGAACAGGAGAGTATATTGGGGATATTTTGTGTGTGCCAAAGATAGAAACGTGCTTGGATAAGGAATGGGGAGAGGAACAGGTCTGAAGATGCAGCAGCAGCAAGAGCAGTAGTTGGATGGCAGCCATGGGAATAGAGAGACTGTTGCCAAATACAACCCAGTCCATTCACAAGCCGTGTGCGCGCGTCTGCGGTGGAGTGTCGCGTCTTCATCAGAGAACACAATTAATATGTTGTATTTTTTTTGTTCTGTTCCATTGGCCTCACTACTAAACAGGAAGTGAGGAGCGTCTGTACTGCTGATTATAAACTATAGTCCTCAATTCAAGCAAAACAGTGGGAAATTATAATTTAACAACATTGCGGTGAAAATGTGTCCGTACAGCAAACCGAGTGTGGTATTTGTGAATGAGTACGCAGCCCTCTGATCCATCTGTACGTGGAAACAGCCGATGATAAGTAAGTACGTAATCTTTATTTATATAGCGCATTTATTACAGACCAAGGTCAACCGAAGCGATTTACGAAATAAATGCAACGTGAGGAAACTAGCGTCATTTTGAATAACACGCAGGCACTTTGGATCAAAGCAGGAGATTTTTATGTATATACATGTGTAAAACAAGATAGATATGTCGTTACGTCCTGCTGAAATATGCAGGAAATAATTGAAAAAATTAATCGAATGAAAAGCAAATCCATGAAAAAGTGTACAATTACTTAGTTGCCATGGACTCATCTTTAACGGACCTTTGATATTTATTCATCATTCCTATTTTCCACCGGACCTAAAGAACTGAAGACCACGTGTTATCGATGTGCTCTGCTAATTGAAGTATCCTGGTCAGTCTCTGTCGGTCCCACATCCAGACATCTCAGCGTACCACACATTCAGGTTGAAATTGTTCCAACGCAAATCTAGCTTCACTTTATCCGTACGCACACTTGGCACGCAATGGCGGCGGGTCAACTAACGCTACGTGTGCTTCGAGCGCTACACGGAGGAGAATTCTACTCCTTCGTTCCTCCAATTGAAACCTCGCAAAGCTCTAGTTTCAGTTTTCATTTTCGCTGCTACTGTTAAATGCAGAATGATGCTGGTTCTTTCACTTCTTTGCAGTGGCCTGAGGAGGATGTAGTTGAGGAAGTGGTTCTACTGCTGAGGGTCGCGTATGTTGTTTTCCACTGCCCCCTACTGGCCGGGAGCTAGAACTACATCGTTTTAAGTCGCCATCTAAATGTTGTGCACTTGAATACAGAGCCTGGACGTTTTTGCCAATTGCTTTGCAGCTTCTCCGCAGCGTCTCAATCTAAACAGGGCCAATAGCTACTCGCTAAAAATAGATTATGTGAAATTGTGAATGAATAATCTTTGCTGTTTGACCTTTCTAATTACTAAAAAGTAGTTGCCCGATTGTGTTTGGAAATAAGTGCATTTGCATGATATACTAAACATTTTAAAGATGTTTTAATGCATGCCTTTACCTTTTTACTCTTACAACTTGCACCTTGAGCCAAAACAAATTCCCAGTTTGTGACTTGACAATGGCAATAAAAATAATTATATTGCAAATAATGTTTCACTTTTGAACTTGTCTGAGTCGCCTGTTGCAAACTTCAGGAGACAAAAACAGTTTTTTGTTTCCTTCTCCAGTCTTGAACACGGCCCTCTCTCTCTTCCTCGTGCCGCTACCCTGACCCGCATATCTCTCCATTGTATTTTTGAGCTGTCACTCACTGCTCTGCTTTCGCCTTTCCGCCCTGGACTGTGTGACAAACCACGCGGCGTATCCGTGTTTGTTGTCAGTTCTTACAAATGTGTTCCAATGTGCCCCGGATCCCAAGGCAAAGCGGAGCCATGCAGACACCGTGGCCCCCCTCTCCCACAAGGACTTATCTATTGATTCAGGAAGATCGGCGACCATCGAAAGGAGGATTTGTGGAAGTGTCAATGTGCCCCCTCCCCGTCGCGCAGAGAATCAGCGGGATCATCGGGTGATCGGGATTTGCCGGATTGCCGCAAGGAGGCGGGAGGGATTGACAGTAAATAGCAGAAGAATTAAGGGTTAAGTCCTTCATACAGATGTCGATACATAAAAATAGGATGGAGAAAGAAAGTGGGGCAAGAGTTTTATTTTGTCTTTGGAACAAGGCACAGCAGCGGAGTGGGAGAGTCTCGTCCTTTATGTTGAAGTTTGGCAGCCTGGACTTATGGCTGTTGAATACTTGTGGTTAGACATTGTCAAATTCTGCAGTATTTTGGCTAAAAGTATGAGTGAGAAATTGGAGTCTTAGTCCATCAATGCATTTCCAATAACATTCAAATAACACCTTTTGCACAATGTGTCTTTTAAAAGTAAAGTGCTGAACAAAACAGACCAGAACACGCTTTCTTCATTTCATTAGAAAACATGTGCACACTTGTCACTGGGATTCACTATTTGACTCAGTTTTGGGCTGAGAGCTGATCGGCTGAGTGAGGGTGACAAAATCTAGATCTAAAAATACATGGTGAAATGCATGTGAATAGAACCACACAGTTTTCAAAGCAAGGAACTAGATATTCCATGTTGCACAGTAAAAATTGGTAAAACTTGTTTTGTGTTGAAAGTTAGTTACCACAGCATCCTTGATTTCAATACGACATAATTAATATGGCCCACCTGATGGAAAATATATCACTTTCATTCAAAAACTCCAAAGATTCTCTCACATCAGTTCAATGGACAGATTTAAACTCATGAATCCCCTAAAACCTCATAAAAGGACAATGTTTTTTGTAATAAATCCCCTTTCACAGAATGCCCACAATGCATTCCCACATTATGGCCATTTCCATGTCTTGAGATTCTTTTTTCCACAGAATGTAAAATGTAAATGTCCCCAGTATCCGCTCAGCAGCTCCTCTCCTCTCCTGCTGCTTTTGTTTGTGGGAGTGTGCAGCCGGAGCTCCAGTCTCTTGTTGCAGAGCGCCTCCAACAGTGTGGGCGTGTCTGGGCCCTGACCTTGGCCCGCTTCCAGCCTCCCAAACCCCCTCACAAACACTGCCCACTGCTGCGCTCGAGAATGTATACAGCCAAGGCTAACACGGCTCCTGCTCACATGCAGACGCTACTGTAAGAAAAGGCAAACCCTCTTTATGAACTCACCGTTTAGAGAAAATTGCATTGTGCTAAATTTATGGAGACTGTTCTTGCTGCACAAAGACATCAAGAACAAAGGACGGAAAACATTTCATTTAAAATGTTTGGATACATTCAGTCACTCAACACTGAGAAGTACAGAAACCCAGGGGCAGTCAGACAATAGCAAGGCTATAAGCTTCGTGCCTAAGTTACCGTTGTGGTAAAACAGGGCTCTCGTCAAAATCTAAATTTAGGTATCGCGATTAAATTAATGAGAAATTATTTAATAAAATGCTTTTTAACATACACGTTTTTCAAATGGAACATGCAAAACATGCTTTGCTTTTGCAATTTTTCACCTGGAATGAAAACAACAATTTCATCTTGGACTTAAAATAGGGCCTAAAGCCTAGCGTACATCGGACTGGCAACTGATTATATCCGTCGCATATGAGTTGCTGCCCCGCACACATCGACAATCTGACGAAAACGGGCAACTCCAGTAGCAGACCAGTCTCGGGAATAACAGCGCGTACATCGACAGCAACTGGCCTCAACTACAGTGTGTTTTCGGAATTAAACTGTTGCGGGCTCGCAATACACGCAATACACACACGTTGTCGGAGCGGCGCATGGAGCGCGCACATCGGGTCATATCTCCGAAACTGAGGACAACTAGTTGCCGAAAAGTAGAACACGGGCAACTGACTGAAACTGGAGACCGACTGATCATCTCCAGTTGTAAGAGCGCGCACATCGACCAATTTCGGCAACTGATCATCTCCCATCATCTCCTCTCAGTCGCCAAAAGCCGCCTTGCAACTAGTTGTCTCCAGTTTCTCTGTCGATGTACGCTAGGCTTAAGAAACGATAGAAAGGACTCTATTCTTTGTTGCTCCCAAACCGGTCTGACTACTCTGGTCCAAATCTACATGGGGTGCTTTCCCCGAACAAGTAACAACAAAGTACGAGAGACGAAAGCGTTACCTATAGGCTCCCAAATAATTACATAAGTATTTTCTATGCTCATAAAAGCCTCTGTAGGCCTTGTCTCATTGCGTGTCTACATGCGTCTGACAGAGTAGATAGGTTTAAATCCAGTTAAGCAGAAAACTGGCTTCACACTGTTTAGTTTCTGAGAACTAAGTATGGACAGATCAGAGCTGAGACCATTTTTTGTCAATAACTAAACTAAATAATCTACTCAATAGTCAATTTTGAGATATTTGAACTTTTTTCTGATTATTCATGTGAGCTACCTGTGCATAAAAGCACAACAGAGAAGTTAAACAAAGACTCCCATAAGATTTACAATATATATATATATTTTTTAGAATAGCGAACTAAAATGGCTAAAGAAAATCACAATCTCTGCAAACTAGGCAGATACAGTTTCCCCAGCAGGCAGAGGCATCGATCCCAATCCTCTTGTTCAGCCAGTGTCCTGCAAAAGCGCCTTTGGCAAAGTCCATGCGCGCTCCACAATCTCACAAAACTGAAAATGCATCCTCCAAACGCTGTCTCAGTTACTGCATGTGGTCTTAATAACATCCATGAATAAACACAGCGTAATAATAGCGTGGTCCCTCCGCTCAGCAAACACCAAAGAAGCTTAAACTCTGTCTCACGCGGATGAATCCAAACAGAATGCGGTCAATATTAGCAAAAGACGCACAGAAATGTCAATAATTTGATTTGATAAAAACACAAAGAAACGCATGAAAGGCCAACGTGGAATTACCCCAGAGAAATTACAGAATGAGGTGAGGATTTGACTCGCTCCCATCTTTACAGGAAAACTAATTATAAGGATGCAGAATAAACACAACGCTGCCCCCTGCTGTCTGACGTGTGTTCAGCTTGATGAATGGGGCACCATTAAAGGAGACCTATTATGCAACATTTCAATAGAGGTTTGCATGTATGAGTAACCTGGTATTGTTCTGCGTTCATAGTAGGACTGTAAAAGTGAATCAATGCATCGCTTTTGAACTGATTTTGTTTCAGTTTTTGAGCCATATCTGGACAAAACATGCATTTTGAGATAAAAAAAGAGATAGTAATACGATCAGATTACATAAAATTGTCTTTAAAAAGTATTTGTAATGAAGAAACCGATTGTCAAGATGTTCTCGAGTGGCATCGCTATAGCTTGGCTTTGGTCAAACTTGTTAATTTGACCAATTTCTTCATGAAATTATAAAAAAAAACAAAACAAAAAAATAATTGAAAGATTATTTGCCCAATTAATCTATTATGAAAATATTAGTGACAGCCCTAATTCAAAGCTTCAGGGCTCCAAAGATCTCAGTTTCACCTACCACCTCTCCCCACTCATGTCTCTATACTTTCTTGTGATACATTTGGGCTCGAGTTCATACAAGTTGGGTTAAAAATATGACTTTATCAAAATTAATAAATTGGAAAGCCTTAAAGTCGACACAGTTGTAGGAATGGAAATCAGCTTCAACAAAAAACAACTGTGAGGAGTTTAGATCATGTTTCTAGTATTTACGAAGCCATGTTTTAGATCAACGTTATCGCACATTATGTTGTAAAAAAACAACAACAATGTGTTTTTAAAAACCAAATCAACTTCATTTTCACACCTTAGTACTTCCCTGTTTGAAGGAAACAAAGTGTGGCTAATATTTCATTTATCTTCAAAAACTGACCTGGAGCTGCTCTATGACGAGTACATAAACTATAATGCATCCCTTCGGGGGTAGCATGGGGAGCTACAGACTGAAAGCATGTTTATATTGAACATATATTTTATAATAAAGATATAGAACATGATATGAGAAAGTCTCATCATTTTTACTGGCCAAACACATCTTCTCTGGTTTAACACATATCATTTTACTGCTCCTTGTCCACATTGAATTTGTTATTCAAAACACCCCACCGCAGAGGACACCTACTCTCCCTGACATCAACAGGAGGTTTGCTACTCTCATGTACAGTAACATATTCACACATATTCATATTCACACTTACTTTAACACAATCTAAACTCCATATACCATAAGAATTATGTTGCTGGTTAAACCTCTTCACTGACAATAATAAACGTTTTCATTATTTTCAAGCCAAAAGTTCAAATATGTTATGTTTGTGGTATATGTAGTGTAGACCAGTGGTTCCGCACCTGTGTAGCCCTGTGTACCCCTTTGCCAGCTTTACTCAGTGCATGAGTACCCTGTTGTTAGGGGGGTATCCCACGTACCCCATGGAGGCCACACTGATTTTGAGCGGGGGCTTTGCTGTTATAACCAGGCATCCTTCATTTTCTTTATGGAAAGTTTGTTTAAAGATGATCCTTTGCATATGATTAATTCTTTTATCATTTATTATTAGGGTATTTTTGACCAACGGAGTTTAATGAATGCTCCCACTAAAAGTCTGCTGTCGTTGTGTCCTTGGGCAAGACACTTAACCCCACATTGCCTGAAGCTCCCGCTGAAGCACCAGGGCTGTGCCACCGCTGATGTAGCAGCCATCTTCCTGTGGACTCACCACCTGCAGAGGATCAGCGAGAGACTGGTGCTATGAGCATTTGGTGGCAGCTCTCATTGCCACCCCCCGACGAAGAAATGAACTAATAAAGGGGCAGAAAATGAATGAATGAATGAATGAATGAGTTTAATGATTTTAACTTTTAGAATTCTACGAAAAAAGTAGAAGGTCATATGAGCCAAAGCTGGACCAAAAGTAACGATGGCTTGTTATTGCAGACTAATATGCTTATTATTAGAAATTGTGTTCTGGGTTTAATAATAATTGTGTTCTGGGTTTAATGTTTAGAGTGGAATAAATTACGTGGCTATTTCTTGAGAAACCAATGAATGTTGTATAAGATGCCATAGTAGGCCATATTCACCTCTTGCTATCACTGTTTGCAAGTTTTGAAAATCATCTCAAGTCCCCCCTGTAATATCTGCGTACCCAAGGGGTCCACGTACCCCTGGTTGGGAAACACAGGTGAAGACAAATCCATTATGCACCGCAACATTCATTACCAACAATATGCAGAGAGCTTTGAAACACACATGAGTTATTCTGTGCTACAGTTCATCCCAGTGCACAATTATTTTAAAAGTGAGTAAAGTCCGAGCAGGGGCTGATCAGCACAATGATGAAAGAAGCTGAAACGAAGCCCCAGTGTTTCCCAGTGGAAGTCCACTGCCGGGACCAGAAAACTACCATCGCAGGCTAATGACGAAATATCTTCTCCGTTATCAGCGCTGAGTGCATCACTAACACTAAATGTGACCCGCTATTGGAGACACAAGAAGCAAAACGCAAGATAAAGTTCAGTCTCTTTAAAAGAATTAGCTTTGTCTTTGAATCAGGTTTCTTACACATATAAAGGCTGGATTTAAAATGTGTATAAAACCTAACATTGGTTTCATACACAAATATCGCAAGTGCATTAAATTTGAAACTATTGTGTAATAAAATCCATCTATGCACTTCCATCTCAAAACCATTTGCTTCTATCACTAGTTTTCACATCAACTCCAGGCCCAAAACTTCAAAAAATGACCCGTAGGGCTCCTTGCAAAAGTCTGAATTGTTCACAACACTACTTCAACTTTTACAATACAATCGTGTGTGTATCATTTATGAAACAAAATAACGCGGAAGGTAAAAAAACAACACAAAAAACAGGAAAACATTAGAATTTGCTTAAAAAAGTTCAATCTGGATCAATCCATTTTTCAATCTTTCATATGTTTTGTTCACATAACTATTCTCAAATATCTAAAGGCAATTAGGAATTTACCCTACTGTATGTATACAAGTGCGACAATATAACTTTCCATTAATTACAATCATTTTCATGCTGATCGTTAGACTCGAGTGTGTGGCTCCTTTTTGCCTGTTATTGTCGCCCTTTTGGAAGAAAGCCATAATAAAAAACATGTAAAGTGTGGATGTAATGAACTCCGCCTCTTCCCCATTACGGAGCAGAGACACAAGGACGAGCAGACAGTGGCACAGACATGGAACAGACATGGCACAGACACGGCACAGACACGGCACAGACACGGCACAGACACGGCACAGACACGGCACAGACACGGCACAGACACGGCACAGACATGGCACAGACACGGCACAGACATGGCACAGACACGTCACAGACATGGCACAGACATGGCACAGACACGGCACAGACATGGCACAGACACGGCACAGACATGGCACAGACATGGCACATACACGGCACAGACATGGCACAGACATGGCACAGACACAGCACAGACACAGCACAGACATGGCACAGACACGGCACAGACATGGCACAGACATGGCACAGACATGGCACAGACACGGCACAGACATGGCACAGACACGGCACAGACATGGCACAGACATGGCACAGACACGGCACAGACATGGCACAGACATGGCACAGACATGGCACAGACACGGCACAGACATGGCACAGACACGGCACAGACATGGCACAGACACGGCACAGACATGGCACAGACAGTTCACTGTCCCTGTCTGTACTACTGTATGTCTGGCACTGTGTATGTTTGTATGTTTGTCATACTTGTTTGTTTTGAATGTCTGTTGTATCTGTGTTGGAATAAATAAAATAATAAAGAGAAATGGCACAGACGACGGCACAGACAGCCTGCATCCTGCTCACACTGAAGGCGCAGTAGAACCAAGGCCTTTATCACATGTGCAGCTATGAAGGCCAGAGGGAAACCGTGAAGAGATAAAAGCACAGGTTTAGAGAATATAATAGAGTATTAGCAAACACAGGAATAAACAACTGTGTCGACTTAAAGGCTGCAACTGAAATCACAACTTCAGTGTACAGTATTCAAAACATCACAATTAAAATAATGACCAGAAATATCCATCAGTGGAAAATAATCTTGATTGGAGTAGTGACTGTATCTATCTGACTGTTTTGACCTTGCTTTCCACAACTAACATCAAGATGATTATATCTAATGTCAACGTCAATGTCATCTTTATTTTTATATACGACAATTACAACAACACCAGCTGCTCAAAGTGCTGCACAGGCACAAAAGAGAAAAGAAAACAGCATAAAAAACACACAAATACATGCAAAGTGTAAAACCGTAACATTCAGTTGGCGTTAGAAGTCAAGGCACACAAAAAAATAATAATAATTTAGGGCTTTTGTGTATACGTATACTGGCAGTGTTTTTGTTTTTTGTGTTATTTTTTGTATAACCTTGAAAAAACAAATAAAGAAACAAAAAAATAAAATTATTAAAAAAAATAAGTCAAGGAACAAATGTGTCTTTAGACTTGATTTAAAAACCTCCAAAGAAGGACCCGCTCTGATGAACAGAAGGAGACTATTCCACAGTTTGGGAGCTGCAACTGAAAAATCCCGGGATCAAGAGTTTTGTTCAGTTCAGTTTGGCCGTATTTGTTTAATATAGTTCTATTTTCTGTTTGTAGATGAGGACATCAGACACCAGAGGAATGTCACACAGCAAACTGGGCCCAAACTCTTCCAATGTACAGATAATTAGATAAACTAAATGACATGAATAGACTTTGATTTAGTGGAGGGAGTCATACAAAAAAGGTTTAATTCTGCCAAACTATAAAATGACATAACTTCATAATTTCTAGAACACTTCTCTACTTCTTGTATATTTCAAACAAGGCTATCTTTTTGTTGTTTATTTTAAGCAGCCGTCATTCCAGCCAAAAATACATACTACATTAGAAATTGATGTTTGTTATGGCAGTGTAACATTGAATATTTCATAATAATTATAAGTATAACAGTGAAAATTGTGCAAGGAATGAACACTGTGTCAAAGTTAAAAACTACCAAGAAAAATGGGTTGTAGATTTCCCCATTTATTTCACATTCTAATTGAGGAAATGCACATTATTCTATACTGAGGATCCGTCAAAACAAGTTTGAAAACAGCATTTGTACAGAAAGGGCGAGGGAACATGTTTGTTGCTGCCAGAAGGGCCCAATATTAGCGTGAAAAATTGACACGCTCAGAAAATAAAATTATGCATATTGCCTTTAAGAAGCTGGAAAATTAGTAGTTACCTAAACAAAACTCCATTTCACAAACTAATATGCAATAATTAGAATTAGCATTTTGCACAGCTCCCCGACACATTATTATTCAGTTTCAGACTCTGCTCTGTACGGGCTGGGAACAACAGGACACCAAGCCCCCGGAGCAGGGCCTTATCTGGGGCAGAGCGAGCCACAGCAGCCTGGAAGGAACCGTGGAAGAGAGACAGGAAAAAGGTGGAAGCATTGTCCACGTATCCTGCCCCAAAACAGGCTCCATCCGAAAAGAGCAGCTTCTCAACGGACATCCTCCAGAGGCTGAGAAGAGGACTTTACATTACCTTCATTCAGGATTTGTTTTCCTAAAGCCGGGGTACCTACACTTTTTTCTACTGTACATGCACTGAACAAAAAACGATGGATTTTTATCTTAATTTGAGTACACAAATTGAGTACAGACAAAGCCGTTTATTAATTTTTTCAAGAACAGTTGCATTTTTCTCATTCCAAGGGAGAAATATCTTGCATCTTTTTAAACTAGACAATTTTGCATGTCCCATTGGTAAATCCTGTTTTAAGACAGTCAAAATGCGCTCAAATTAACATTTAGCCAAATTTGAGAATTTTTTTGGTAATTTTTCATCACCTTTAGCAGTGAGTTGTTTGTCCTAACAGAGAGAGTTTTGAGAATGTAAAATGTGAACAAATCACACCACATCAAAAACAATTCTGGTCATTGACGTTGCCAGTTCAAGTCCCACTCCTGACATAAGCATCATTGGAGAACAACCCTATGGACTGACCCGCAGGGATGACGCCAGCTCCCATTGGCCAACGCTGTCGTGTGTCCATGGGCAAGACACTTCCCCCACATCACCCCCAGTGTGTGCGGAATGGGGCAAAGGGACCTGGCTGTGAAGCACTTACTGTAGAAGTCTCGGACAGTGGAAAATTATAATCTTAATCTAGTAGCTGTGGAAAGTCGATTCTGTTCAGAATGGCAATATTTTGGGCACAGAAATTAAATTGATACAGTAGAGAAAAGTATTGCAATATTTAATTCAATAATTATCCGTTTATCTTTCTGTTTTTGTCTTTGTGACTCTTGTCTGTTGTATTTGAATAAGTTCAGTTGTGTTCTGGGAGCTCAGCGTTCATGGAGACATCGTCAATTCAGAGAATAATGATGTCTTGTCCTGTAAAAAGGTCCTGTGTCCTGATGGTTCAAGGATAATGTTTTTGCACTTCAGTTAATGTGCAGACCATAATAAATGTGAAATATGAGCTTTTTTCAATTGTCTTTGAATAATATGAGGGACATGAATCACAATATATTGCAGATAACTAATCGCTCGACTGGCTGCATCGTAATAAGTTAAGAATAAAATATATTCTATTGGTTTCAGGTCAAATTTCGGCATTTGTCGTGTTGAGGTAATTATGCATGAAATAGAACACGTTTTTAGAGAAAAGATTGTGATTGTTCCGACTACAACATCAAACTAGTTGCAATAATTGATCTGGTTCCTTTTTCTCACTATCATTTCAGGTATGAATATTGACCAGACACCCTTTAACTTTGGTGAAACTTTATGAATCCAGCTTCCCTTTAATTCCAGCTTCTTTGTCCGGTCACAAAGCCTTGTTATAAAGGACGCTCTTCTAAGTCAATGCTAATGACCACAGCTTTCTGCCGCTATCTTTTTTTCCCTTTCTTTGACTCACCGCCTCGCCTCGTCTGAAGCTTTTAGAGCTATTATTATTATTCTTATTTTGAGAGAGCCGGGTGAACAGTGTGGGCTGCAAAGTTAACTAACGGCTGCATTAATTGGACCATTCACTGATCACGGCAAAAAATGAACTTAATGCAGTATTTACAATTAGAAACACGTTAATTTATGCATCGTGAAAAGAAGCAGAGAATGGTTGTTTCTTTCCTTTATAATACGCAAATTAGGTGCCAAGTCTTGGAGAAGGGGGTTCTACTGCGAGTGGCTCTGATAGAAGACGGAATAATGCTGTTTAATCCACTTTTTATGCAAGTACTAAATAACAAAATAATGTATATTGTCCAAAAATCCAGAGTTTTTCCGACCAAACGCAGCAGTAAAAGTGAACTGTTCTCTAGGCTGTTGCTAACATGTGACAGGCAACAACAGAAGGTCACACAAGACAGCGCATGTTTAAAAAATTGTGGATGATAAACTTGTAGTCCATTATAATGAGATTCTCTAGAGTTCTGGATAAACTGCATCATTTTGTGTGCGTTTGAACTTAGCGCAGAGACGACATTGAGCCCTATTGTCCATTATCCACAGTAGGGCTGAAACAACTAATCGATTAATCTACGACTAATCGATTATTGAAATAGTCGACAACTATTTTATTAATCGATTAATCGTTTTCTGGTTCACACGGACTCAAACAGAGCAAAAATGACATGAAAATGTAGTATTTTTGATTAAAACCGACTTTGTTTTTATTATTCCATGAATATCTGTCTGTCTCATCCAATCAGATAGCAGAATTAGCACAAAGAGCCTGTTACAAACATTTACTTTAAGTTTACGCCATCAATACGTCCTCGAGTGTTGCCACTTTAGCTTTTTGAGATGAAAAAAAATTTTTTTTCTACACAATTCATAGCCAAGCGATTACTCGATTAATCGTAAAAATAATCGATAGATTAATCGATTACAAAATAATTGTTAGTTGCAGCTCTAATCCACAGGTTTTCAGTATTTTCTTATTGTGTGTTATTATGTGTCCTAATGAGACATGGGCAGTCGAAATGTGAAAATATAGATACTGTTCCACTTCCTGCTCCACCCAGCGGCTTCACCACCTCCGCTGCCAAGACCTTACCGTAAGTGCTGTTGCATTACTATTGTAGTACTATTTTAGTACTTTTAGAATTATGCATTTATTTGTTAGAAAAGAATGGATGTGTTTCTGCTGCTGCGTTTATCCTATGGGGCATCAAATAAGTATCTATCTACCTGTCTATCTATCTATCGACCTGTCTGTCTACCTATCGACCCACCTGTCTGTCTATCTATCGACCTGTCTGTCTATCTATCTATTGACCCACCTGTCTGTCTATCTATCGACCTGTCTGTCTATCGACCTGTCTGTCTATCGACCTGTCTGTCTATCTATCGACCTGTCTGTCTATCTATCTATCTTATCTATCTATCGACCTGTCTGTCTATCTATCGACCTGTCTGTCTATCTATCGACCTGTCTGTCTATCTATCTATCTTATCTATCTATCGACCTGTCTGTCAATCTATCTATCGACCTGTCTGTCAATCTATCTATCGACCTGTCTGTCTATCTATCTATCTACCTGTCTGTCTATCTATCTATCTACCTGTCTGTTTATCTATCTATCTACCTGTCTGTCTATCTATCTATCGACCTGTGTATATATCTATATCTATCTACCTGTCTGTCCATCTATCTATCTATCTATCTAAACTCACACATGAAGGAAACAAGTATACTGTAAATAACATATTTCAATTTTTTTCCCGAACAAACAAGAATTGTCTTCATAAATTCTGAAAACAATCTTAACTTTTGACATAACTGACAGTATGTAAGACCTGTTCACACTGCTGTGGATGGGTCCAAACCCTCACACAAATCCTCAGCAAATAAACTTTTTTTTGTTCTAATCCAGTGGTGTGAACGTGCCATCTTGACCTCGCCATCATAAGCCTATTCATGTTGATCTGACACGGGGCGGCAGATGGAACACTTCCACCACAGCCGACAGGAACAAGGGATTGGAGCCGTAATGAACACTCCACTGGCCCCAGTGCAGCCCCATTTGAATAATGAGAAAAAACACAAGTGTGAGCAACAGGGTACGATGAGGGAGCTGTCAATCCTCACCAGAGATGTCACCGTTTCTAATGTCACCCTTATCCTGAGAGCATTTCATTATTGACGCAGAGATATTATGGAAAACGGTCTTTTTCAAGCGTTTAACCGGGTTATGACTAATATGGGTTTTATGTGGCCGATGTAGATTTTTCAAAGTTTAGTTGATATAAATGGCTGATTTTTTAGTCTATAAAAAAAAAAAGCTGCAAAAAAAAAAAAAAAGCTGCAAAAAAAAAAAAAATCTTATCATTAAACTATATATTTGAGAGGAAAACTTGGAAAAATGTCCAGGATTTTATTGTGTATTTTATAAGTTTTATTTATAGCTCTTCTTTTACAATTAGTGGTTATTTCTGTGTATTTACTTTGATTACTTTATGGAGGCTTTTTGAACATAAGAACAATGGGTTTTTCTGGACAAGGTAAAGATAGATGAGTATTATTAAAAGTATCACAGTTGTATTTATTTTATTACTAAACATATTGGCATCATTGTAAAGTAATCAGGAAGTATAATATGCCAAGGTAGTATATCTGCCAGATGGGAAATATAGAATTATTCCCTCATCAGGAACAGACCGACAGCTGTTTTTAGCTCCATCCACGCTCAAGCTGCAGCTATCAGTTTGTTATTATTATAGTAAGCTATAAATTAATCAGTTATACATGAAAAACACTAGACTTTTGACAAAACAGTTAAGGTTACATTCAAACCTGGAACACTATGGCGAATGAAACCTACGCTGTAAACTGAAAAAATTAGGGTTATTTTCAGAAATTTAAGTGAAACAGGCAAAAGCTGGAGCCCTGAAACTTCATAAGAGATAGAGGACGATAAGAGACATACACCATATCAATATTGCATTTGCCATTATCGCAATGATTTAGTTTACAGTTTTTCTCGGTCGCTTTGGTGCATTTTTCACATCGTTCTTCACATTTGCACAACTGTTGGTGCATTTCTCAGAACAATTAGTGCAAACTGCAGAACCTCGTAGATAACCTGCAAAAGTGCGTCACTTTCTCAAAATGAAAAGTTATGTCCTCAAAAGCAAGTTCAAACGTCAATGAAACTGTCTATGTCGTCAAAATAATATGTCCTAACAACATTGAGTATGAACATTACAGTCAAATGACTTAGTCATGTTTTCATTGTGACACTTCACTCTCTCTGTGTTTTCAGAGTAAAAAAGTCAGATCTCGGTGACACTTGAGCACGACTATGAGCACACTATACACGACCTATACGGCCATTTACAGTAAAAACTACAGTAAAGTTACACAAAGACTGTATTTAGAGAGTTAACTGACATTCTGTAACATATATATATGTGTATGTATGTATGTATGCACTGTATGTATGTGTGTATCTATGTATGTATGTACTGTATGTATGTATGTATGTATGTATGTATGTGTGTATCTATGTATGTCCTGTATGTATGTATGTATGTATGTATGTGTGTATCTATGTATGTACTGTATGTATGTATGTATGTGTGTATCTATGTATGTA